TCATGGTTATCCATGGTCAAAAATACACTATATTTCTATATATTTTTTTAAATTAACAAAATACTTTATAATGCTGAAGTTTTTTATAGTTATTGCAGTAGAGATATATTTTTATCTCCTACTTTTTCCAAATCATGTGATCATGGAATCTTTTCTTGTTTGTTTTTGATTTCTTTGTTTGAGATGGAGGAGGAAGGGGGAGCAATTGTTGGCAGACATAAAAGCTATTATAATCTCACAGAACATACTCTAGTAATTAAAAGGGGAAGGACTGTAGGTTGGAAGGAAGGAAGTGAAAAAGTAATGAAAGAAGGACGGTTGGTAGGAGATGACATAGGAAGAGGAAAAAATAAGGTCCATGATTTTAATTTATAATTCCAATCCCAAGAATGCTTGGAAGTTAGACTTTTTCCCCCCAAGTTTGATATAGTCTCATTAGGAAGAAAAGCATGGCCAGAAGTGATGTCAGGTTTTTAAAGTAACCTCCATGTATCCCTCTCGTTGGGCATATTTCTATGTTTTGCTGCAGAAATAGTTCTTTCAGATGACAGTGGAGTTTCCCTCAGGCCCTGATGAGGGACCACATAATCTAGGGTTGCTGGATCACATTACAGTTTCCAAAGCTGAAACTAGATTTAAAGTCCCATGTCTTGAAGGGATGTTAAGAAAGGATTGTGGACCTGTTTTGCATCCATACTTTGTAGAGCTGTTTATAACAGTTACGTTCACTGCCTCTCCTGTGAAGTGGGGAGAGCGCCTCCCAGGTTTGTACTGGTGGTTAAATACAGTCATGACACCCCAGAAACCCAACACGCTTCGTGTCACAGGACATGCTTTGAAATGTCTGCTGCTCTCTTCCACTTTCTGGTGGCCTTTCCTCACTGCATTCACCTGGTCAGCTGGATGCTTAGTGATCCCTGAGTTTTATGTGCCCCAAATCCAGATGACAGTGAGCTAAGGCAGAAGCCAAAAGTAGGTCTCTGTTCTTCCTTATGCTACAGAAACCTTGGCATCATCATCACCATGTCGATTCTGCTATAACAAGCTATGCCTTGGCTTGTCCTGGTTTTTTGGTTTTTGTTTTTTGGTTTTTTTTTTGTGCAGTGCATGAGTATTCTTTTATTTTTATTTTTATTTATTTATTTCTAATTGTATTTTAGGTTTGGGGGCACTGGCTTGTTCTGTTTTGCTTCATACAGCTTTGATGACTTCCTCTGTGTAAAACATCCCATTGTAAATTAAAGAATTACAATTTCAGAGGTAGATCTGATGAGACAGAGGCACCCTGCATTGGTAGCCTTGGCATTGGTCACACTGTCGTGTCTGGGATTGTGACTACAGCTGGGGGAGTTGTTACACATATTATGAATCTGAGTTTACAATTGTAGGTCGTGAGGCTGTAATAGTTATGAATGGACAGGATTTAGCCTGATTGTTGCTGATAAACTCATCCTCGTTTATGATGCTATTTAATGGGACCAGAGTATTTGGGGTAAGGAATAGGAATGACAATTCTCCAATTTCATGTTCGTTTGAGCCTAACTTTTTTTTTTTTAAGGATTAGGGGTAAGAGAAGGAGCAGGAATTTGGGAGGAGTCACTGGAGGAATGGAAAGATTAAGAAATTGAAATTACTATTTGCTCATACTAAAATCCAAGACTTTTAGAGAGATGTCTTTAGGAGTTTAAGGGCTGATAATAAACACTTTGAGCTTCTTTGGAAATAGGGAGACAGGGCTCAAATGCTGAGATGGTCTCCAAGTCAAACAAGAAAATCTCTAAAGAGAGACCTGGAAAAGCGAGACGGGCCTGAGTCCATGAGTAGCCTTGTGGCCCTCAGTGCCAGAACAAGTCTTGGGCAGGGCAGTGCTCTTTGCCACCCTCAGCCTCAGCTTTGGTTCCTCTTGGTTTAAAACTTTATTCAACAGGTAATTCATTGAGTACTTGCTATGCTCCAGTCTTCTGTACACTGAGGAGAAAATAGGGAACACAGCAGACAACTCTGTCAATGCTCCCAGCAGCAGGGCAGTCCACAAGCATCTGACCATTCAGATCTTGGGCTGTGAAGCCAGGTAAGGGCTTCTGCTTACTCTTAAATGCCTCATTTCTCTGAGTCTTGGGTACGTAATCTATTTCTCTGTGTCTCTTGCCAGTTGTGTTGGAGATGGCTAGCTGTGTTCCCTACTTCCATAGAAAGGGTAGTCACTGGCAAGGTGCTGCCCAGCCAGGCTCTTTCTATCCCAGCTCCCCACCCAGTGAAGTGTGGAATAGTGACTATTCTTACCAGTGCAATGGAAGTGTAGGTGAAGCAAAACATTTGAAGGCCAATGCTTTTAAGAAGTGGGCGCACCTGCTCCATACTTTCTTTTCTTTCCACAAATAGGTAGACACCACAACAAAGACCCTGGGGGATGGATGCGTGTCCTTAAATCTCCACATTGAGAGAGCCACCTGCCCCAGATACTCACTGGGCAAGATATAAATTGTTACTATACTTGCTTTGTTGCATTTGGGGTATGTTTATTATAGCTGTTTAGCCTATCTTAACCAACACACGCTCTTGTCTCCTATTCTATAGGATATTGTTATATCTCTCTTCCAAGTTTCAATGTTTAACTCTCAGGAAAACTTTGTGTTTCTTCCTTTTTAGCCCCTTATCTTAACCCTTCTAATTCTTTCTGCCCTTTTTTTTTTAATATATTTGTATTCCTCTTAGAATATATTCCAACTATATATTTATAGTTGGGCTTCTTTTTCTTTCTATACTTTTTTTTTTTTTCAAATGGAGTTTCGCTCTTGTTATCCAGGCTGGAGTGCAATGGCGTGATCTCGGCTCACCGCAACCTCTGCCTCCAGGGTTCAGGCAATTCTCCTGCCCCAGCCTCTCGAGTAGCTGGGATTACAGGCACACACCACCGTGCCCAGCTAATCTTTTGTATTTTTAATAGAGACGGGGTTTCACCATGTTGACCAGGATAGTCTCGATCTCTTGACCTTGTGATCCACCTGCCTTGGCCTCCCAAAGTGCTGGGATTACAGGCCTGAGCCACCGTGCCCGGCCCTCTTTCTATACATTTTGAAAGCTATTTAACACCCATTCTGATGACCACCTCAAATAGAAAGATGATATCTTAATATATAAAAATCTTCTATAAATAAATAGAACAATGGAAGCAGTATGCAAATATGTGGCTCATAGAAAAGTAAATATGAATGATACTTATATAAAAACTATTTTCTCAAAATAAGAGAAATCTAAGTAAAACTTTATTGAGATACTTTTATCACTTATTATCCTAGAGACAAAAAGCTTGTTAATATACTCTTGACAAGTGTGAGGAAATAGGCACCCTTATATATTGCTATATATATTGCAACATATGTGACAGGGAGTTTAAATTAGTACAAGCTCCATGAAGAGTCATTTGGCAATACCTATCAAAATCACAAGTGCATTTACCATTTTATCCAGAGATTCTATTTAAAGGAATTTATCTTACAGATATTTTTACACAAAGTTATGCACGATCAAGCTTATTTACTGCTGTGGCCATAATAGTAAAATATTTTTATATAACCAAGATGTTTATCATTGAGGAACTGGTTGAATAAATTATGGTACATCCATCACTAGAATACTAAGAGCCTTTTGAAATAAGGAAGATCTTTATGCTGCAGGGAAAGCAGAATTTTACCTCTTCTCTTGTAGAGTTTTAAGCTGGGTCTGAGAATTAAATTGACATAAGACATAGACGGAAGGGAAGTATACAAATGCATGTAAATTTTACATGACACGGGAGCCTTCATGAGGAAGTGAAGACCCAGCAAAACCTAAATGCTTTTATATTAGGTTGAACAAAGAGTCAATTGTGGAAAAGTAAACTATGTGGGAAGCTCAAGGAAGATAAGAAGTCTTTCAACAAGGCCTGTTTGTACAGAATTCTCTTGGCTATGACTTACTACTGTAGAATATTTCCTTTCTAATGGTACAGGGAAGGCATCTTTCACACGGGAGTTTTTATCTCATATTTCCAGAAAGAAAAGATTAGAATGCCCTTCTTGCATTTGTTCTTTTTCAAGTGTCATTAGCTCAGAAATAATCCTTTGCTAAAGTGACATAGCTTGGGATGGTGTATTCTGCCAGCTGTCCATCAATGCCCAGGTAGGGATATATTAAGGAAAAGAAAGAAAGCAGAGAATTGTGTTCTATAGGACACTGCTCTTTGGGTAAAAATATATAGACCAGGCGTGGTGGCTCACGTCTATAATCCCAGCATTTTGAGAGGCTGAGGCAAGTGGATCACCTGAGGTCTGGAGTTTGAGACCAGCCTGGCCAACATGGTGAAGCCCTGTCTCTACTAACAATACAAAAATTAGCCGGGTGTGGTGGCACGTGCCTGTAATCCCAGCTACTAGGGATGCTGAGGCATGAGAATCAGCTGAGATTGTACCACTGCACTCTAGACTGGGCAACAGAGTGAGACTGTCTCAAAAAAATATATATATATACATATATACACACACACACACACACACACACACACATGCATACATAAATGTAACATATGCATATTATATATGGGCAAATATATGTATATATGTATGTATTTGCCCATATATGCATGTATGTGTATATAACATGTTTGGCCATTTGTGTGTTTGTATATGTATAACATGCAAATATATACAGAATGCATTGTGGAAGCTACACAAAACTAATATTATTATTTGCTATGTGGAGAAAAATCAAGGAGAAATGGGCAGGGGAGGGAGAAAAACTATTCACTGAACACTCTGTATTTTAAATTTTGAAATACGAAAATGAGAAATCTACTCATAAAGGAAATAAACATAGTTTTTACTCTTTTCTCCTTCCTGTTAAAATTGTTAGTCCACTACAGTATTTGGGCTGGAATTTGGTTCTTAAACATCTGCGGAATCATAGTTGCTTTTACATATATATATATATATATATATATACAACTATGGTGGGAGCGTAAATTAGTTCATATATTTTATTGCATTTATATTAATGCAATAAAATATATGTATATTGTTTTCGGTTTGGGGGTACATGTGAAGAACGTGAAAGATTGTTGCATAGGTACATACATGGCAATGTGGTTTGCTGCCTTCCTCCCCATCACCTATATCTGGCATTTCTCCCCATGTTATCCTTCCCCAACTCCCCACCCACTGCTGTTCCTCCCCTAGTTCCCCCTGACAGACCCCAGTGTGTGATGCTCCCCTCCCTGTGTTTATGTGTTCTCATTGTTCAACACTCACCTATGAATGAGAACATGTGGTGTCTGATTTTCTGTTCTTGTGTCAGTTTGCTGAGAATGATGGTTTCCAGATTCATCCATGTCCCTACAAAGGACATGAACTCATCGTTTTTTATGGCTGCATAGTATTCCATGGTGTATATGTACCACATTGTCCCTGTTCAGTCTATCATCGACGGGCATTTGGGTTGGTTCCAAGTCTTTGTTATTGTAAAAAGTGCTGCAATGAACATATGTGTGCATGTGTCCTTATAATAGAACAATTTATAATCCATTGGATATATACCCAGTAATGGGATTGCTGGGTCAAATGGAATTTCTATTTCTAGGTCCTTGAGGAATTGCCACACTGTCTTCCACAATGGTTAAACTAATTTACACTCCCACCAACAGTGTAAAAGTGTTCCTATTTCTCCATATCCTCTTCAGCATCTGTTGTCTCCAGATTTTTTAATGGTTGACATTTTAACTGGTGTGAGATGGTATCTCAATGTAGTTTTGATTTGCATTTCTCTAATGACCAGTGATGATGAGCATTTTTACATGTTTGTTGACCTCATACATGTCTTCTTTTGTAAAGTGTCTGTTCATATCCTTCACCCACTTTTGAAAGGGCTTGTTTTTTTCTTGTAAATCTGTTCTTTGTAGATTCTGGATATTAGCCCTTTGTCAAATGGGTAGATTGCAAAAATGTTTTCCCATTCTGTTGGTTGCTGGTTCACTCTAATGATTGTTTCTTTTGCTGTGCAGAAGCTCTGGAGTTTAATTAGATCCCATTTGTCTATTTTGGTTTTTGTTGCGAATGCTTTTGGTGTTTTAGTCATGAAGCTCTTGCCTATGCCTCTGTCCTGAATGGTTTTGCCTAGATTTTCTTCTAGGGTTTATATGGTGTTAGGTCTTATGTTTAAGTCTTTAATCCATCTGGAGTTAATTTTAGTGTAAGGTGTCAGGAAGGGGTCCAGTTTCTGCTTTCTACAAAATTTACGAAAGCCTCTCTCCAGGAGGACACACATACAATTTGTGTTTCATATCGGGCAACTGTGGACAGCTTGAGTGCAGTTACACTGAGCACCTTAGGTTCATAACTCCTATAAGAAAAGATCAGCAGTGGAAAAGAAGTGAGAAGACTTTGTTTCTCATCTCTCCCTCTGAAAACTGTGTGGAATTGGTCACGTCCTACTAGATTTATCTCATTGTTCTTTGTTTCGAATCCCCCACCTTCTTTATACCAAATTTTCTAGATTTCTGTGTGATTCTCCTTTAAAAAGAAGACTTCTTTCATAAGAAGCCTTAGACTAATTATCTGTTTACAGTTTGGTTTTTTTAATTGAAACTTTCTCTTAATTTCCTCCCGCTCTTTGGGAATTGATTTCCCCCGACACACTTTAAGAAACATGCTCTTTTTGGCCCCTGGGGGCTCCCATTTGAACAACTACTTTTTTCCTGTCGTTGAACTGATTCAATGTGAGGCCCATGTCCCTCTTTCCTTGGCTATTAGTATAGTTTCTTAACTCAAATCTGAATAGAATTTTCTTGAAATGAAACCCCAATAACCAGCATCTAAGTTCCCAGGCTTTTAAATAAACAACAGAGTATTAATTACAGAGACTCTTTATTTTCACCCTCTGATACTCTCAGGATCCCATGTGAGAGATTCAGGAGCTGGCATGGAACTAGCTCATACTTCCTCTCCCGAGATCAGCGCGTTCAGACTTCACTGGCTGCTGGTACCAGGGTGAATAGACTTTGAAGCCTCACATTTGGGAATGTTACTCTGACCCTCTCACTGCACTACTCCCCACTTGGACCCTCTTCATTCTGGGGCTCCTCCCAGATCTCCCCTTCAGGATGAGGCACTCCTTTCCCTAAGTGCTAGGAATGCTGCCTAGTGATGGTCCTCAGATGAGTCCTTCCCCCACGAATTGCTCTTGACTGAAGAGAGCCTCCTCACTAACGGTTAGGACCCTTACCAAGGGGCAGACCATGTCCAATGACAGGTCATTGCGGAACCCTTGCTTCAGTTCAGGGTAACCTGGAGGAGATGTCTGAGCTCTAGAGCTCCTTGTGCGGTGAGTCGAGGCTGCTGTTGTGACTGCATAGCAGCCCCACTCCTTCCTCTGCCCAGTCCAGCTTCCCATCCTCTCTCCTTATGCTGTCCCAAGAGCCATCTGCAACAATCCACCTGCAGCCAATTTATCTCAGAGTCTGTTTGCTAGGGAACCAGGGCTCTAAAATGCTCAGGCGTTGAGGCATTCTAGAAAACTGTGCTCTTAGGAGAGCTAACGTTGCAATGTGCATCAGTTGTTTTTCCCAGCCCAGCATCCTTTGACCCTTCTTGTAACAAGCAGCTTCCGGATTTTCCTTTAGATAGCCACACCTCCTACCTCTGGGCTCTTGATGCAATAGGGTTGAGCCCAACCCTTCCCAACCACCTACCTCACCCAGGCCTGCCACATCACCCCAGCCACAGTAATTGGTTCAGGGATGGCACGTGACCTCAGCTGGGCCAGTGACAGCCCTTTCTGGGACTTGTGCTGAAACCCTGGAGACAAATGAGCCCTTTGTGTCTCAGAGTTGCCGAACTGACTGAATGAACTATCTTGCATTTTCTGCACATGTACCCCAAAACCTAAAATGCAATAAATAAAAAAAAAATTTCGGACTGAGCATGGTGGCTCACGCCTATAATCCCAGCACTTTGGGAAGTCGAGTCAGAAGGATCACTCGAGGCCAGATGTCTGAGGCACATTGACTAGGGAAGGAGAAATTTGCTTCCCGATTCCCCTTTCTCTGTACAGCAAAAACAGATATAGAAGAGTGGAAAATGTCCCTGAGAAAGGAGGATGTCTGACAGCTCCAGGTAGTAAAACCTCCTCAATTAGTATGAAAGTAGCACTCATTATTTTTGCACAAAGAGAAATGCTTTCGCCAATCCCTGCAGCTCCTCTTTATCACTTTCGAGTGTGTTTATTTTGACGGCCTTTATTTATACTTTTTTTTCATTCGTACATCAGAAATATGGCCCCATCTGGAGACGGTGCACAACTTGATGCTTTTCATGACCCTTCCAATCAGGAGTAACTACAGCTGTCGGGGGAGCACTGAAGAAATGTCAATTAGCTATAAAAGTTCCACAAACAAGCATTATGTCTTCCTCTTATGAGTCCCAGTGCAGCTCAAAATTGAGCAATAATGTCCACAGTTAAAAATGGCTGTTGGGGGCCCGAGCACTCTCTTTTCCCATTAATAATTGCTCAGCACCAGAGCTGGAGTCACCGCGTGTGGATGGTGGAGCCCAGGTCGCTGAGGGTATTTGCGTTAGAAACAGTGACAGCACACATCATGTTTCTGAGTGGAGAATGGCACTGCATCCCTCCATGTTCACACCAATGGCTGAACCCATCCCTCTGGGCTCAGGATTTGAGCCACCTTGCACGGTCCTCCTACCTCTGGGTTCCTCTTCTCCGGTTATCTGCACCCTGGCTGTTTGCGTCTGAAAATCACATCAGGATGGCCCTGGGCTTGGGGAGGAATTGGAGAGCAGTCTGCCTTCTGGTGTCACTCTTTGGGATGGTCCAGGACCTTTATTTGCATGTGGCCTTTATTTACAGACAAGTGCTCTGCCCTCCAGGTGAAAAGGCAAAGAAAGTCTTTATTCTGCAAGTGAAACCAAGCACCTGCGGCCAGTGGAGGTGATTTGCCTTGACATGTGAAACGTAATGAAGCCTTATTTACAAACGCAGCTGGGCCAAGGGCTGTAATTTGCCAATTTTTAAAATTTTATTTCTAGCTTTATTGAGGTTTAATTGACAAATAAAAATGATATACATTCGAGGTGTATAATATGATATTTTGATACATATATATATATATATACAGTGAAATTATCATTCTTAAGGACAATTAACATACCCGTCACCTCACAGTTACTGTTTGTGTGTGTGTGTGTGGTGAGAATATTTAAGATCTACTCCTAGCAAGTTTCAAGTACACAATATATTATCATTAATGATAGTCACCAAGCTGTATGTTAGGTCTTATAACTGCAAGTTTGTTGGGGGCTGCGGGAAATCAGGAACTGTTGGTCAAAGGGTACGAATTTGCAATTCATTATTTTTTTAAATGCTGCATTAAAGTATTAATTATCATTATAATCAACGTTTTTGTGCCCCTTAAATCTTATGCCTGAGGCTAGTGCCTCACCCCCCTCACCCTAGTCCTAGTTCTGCCTTCACCAGAAAGGACGTGGGCGTGGTCCTTCCGCAAGGTCTCAGCTGTGTGTTCCAAGAACTCTCATATTTAGTAGAGGCGGGTAAGAGAGTTTCAGCCATGCCTTGTGTGGAGATGGCGTCTGGAAAAAGCACACATACAGTCCTTGGTTCCAATTCTTGTGCCGCAACCATGTGACCTTCAGCAAGTCATCTGACATCTCTGAGCGTAGGGCTTCTCATCTACCAAGCGGACATCATAGTATCAACCTCAGAGTATGGCCGTGAAGATTAAATACAGTAAACGATGTCAGGTGGCCTGCATTCAATTAGTGACACTGGACAAATGTTTATGGAGTGAATAATCAATGCACAAAATGTTGATTTGAAGGACAGGAGGATTTTTATCAGATTGCTTTCTGATCAGCTGGACCTTCTTCTTTTTTTTTTTTTTTTTTGTCTTCTTACTTTCTATATCAAGTCATGGTGATGTCTATACATGTTTATGTTTTGTGCTAGACCTGAGGGCATGTATGCATAGGAAGCATCTCGTATTTGTTGTATGAATAGAAAGAGAGCTTTTTTTTTTTTCTGAGATGGAGTCTCACTCTGTCTCTGAGGCTGGAATGCAGTGGTGCGATCTTGGCTCACTGCAACCTCCACTTCTCAGGTTCAAGCCATTCTCCTGCCTCAGCCTCCCAAGTAGCTGGGATTACAGGTGCCTGCCACCGAACCTGGCTAATTTTTCTATTTTTAGTAGAGATGGGTTTTCACCATGTTGGCCAGGCTGGTCTCAAACTCCTGACCTCAGGTGATCCACCTGCCTCTGCATCCCAAAGTACTGGGATTACAGGCATGAGCCACTGTGCCCGGCCAAAGAGAGCTTATAAATGAGCAATGATATGAATGAATATGGAATCAGGCAATGCGGTCAAATCCCCACTGTGTAGGTGACCTGAGTCATTTTCACTATTGCCTACAAGGTTCTTAGGGGGCTTAGACACAAAGAAGGTAAGTTCAGGGCTGGGCACTGTGGCTCACGCCTATAATCCCAGCACTTTGGGAGGCCGAGGTGAGTGGATCACGAGGTCAAGAGATCGAGACCATCCTGGTCAACATGGTGAAACCCCGTCTCTACTAAAAATACAAAAAATTAGCTGGGCATGGTGGCGCACGCCTGTAGTCCCAGCTACTCAGGAGGCTGAGGTAGGAGAACTGCTTGAACCCAGGAGGCAGAGGTTGCAGTGAGCTGAGATTGCGCCATTGCACTCCAGCCTGGGTAACAAGAGCGAAACTCCATCTCAAAAAAAAAAAAAAAGAAGGTAAGTTCAAGAGCCTTAAAAGCTACAGTGACCCCAGTGATTCTTAAGTAGAGTCACATACAAAAATCATTGTGTGAGTTCTTCAATGGACCCTCGCTCCATTGAAGCAGAGCCTGGGTCCCTTGCTCTTCAGTGGGTTGGGAATTGGAAGCAGCAAGGAGAAGAGAACTCAGAGCTTTTGCTGTGCTTCCAGGGGTGGTCCATGGATGCTGAGTTAATTTATAACTGTTCTAAAGTCAGAAAGTTCTGAGTCATAAAGGAAAGACCATGTCGGGGCTTTTCTGGAAAAAAGATGTGAAGTGACAAGATTATAAGATGAGCGACCATGTAATTTATCATTCAAACTGGCATAATTCTGAGAGTGAAAGAAGCTGCTGTTAATAATTACACTGGAGTAAATGATGCCAATTCAGTCTGTTCTGGGCAAAGCAAGGCATACAGTTATCCTACTTCTAAAGCAACCCTGCAAAGAACCTCCTGCTCAGTGTTGGAAAGGACAATGCCATTTGTGCCACCGCCTGGTGGACAGCGCTGGCTTCTTTTGCAAAGAGGGCAGCCTCATGCCTGCCCTCTGCAGCCATTGCTGTATCTGGGTCTGCTGTTTGGTGATAGAACAGTTGTGCCTTCCTTTGCCTGCTGTGCCCTCTTTATAGCCAGTAGTTTAACGTATCTAAGAGCTGTGTCACCATCCACGGCCACCAGCTGGCTCTGCTGTCACATCTGGGTTCTCATTTGAGTGATGTCTCACAGAAGCCTGAAAAATGGAATCACAAGTGGAGAAGCCAGCAAAGGCAGAATGCCAGAGGTGAGCAGTGTGGGCTGCTGAATTGTCTTTTAGATAAATGCCTGATGTTAGCACGGGAAAGAATTGCAGATAATCATTTATTCTAATATCTCACTTAATATCCTCTCCCGCCACCTCAATTTACTGTTGAGGAGATAAAATCAAAAGAGTAATGTGCTCAAGTTTATTAGTTCCTTCAAATTTATGTTTCTAGCCCACACTTTCTCCCTGGATTCCAGAATATGCCACCATCTCCTCGATGTCTCGCTGGTGGAAATATCAAACTCAGGATTTCCAAACATGGCCTTGTGATCTCTTCCCAAGCTGGGTCCACCCCTGTCCTTCTCACCTCGGCCAAGCCCTCTCTCTGTTGCTCAGGCCGAAACTCTTGGAGTTAACCTTGACTCTTGACAACTTCTCCTTCTTTCTCATAACACACCTAATCTATTAGAAAAGACTATTCCGAATATATCCAGAGTCTGATGCCTTTCACCACCCCCGTTGCTACCCCTGGCCCAAGCCACCACCTCTCACCTGGGTGGTCACATTTGCCTGCTAACTGCTTCCACTCAGAACTTCCTACAGTTCTTTGTATTTTTACTGAATTGGATGGCCGGATGGGTCCTTTTAAAGCCTAAGTTAGGTTGTGTCACTCTTCTGCTCAAAGAAAAGCTAAAATTCTGGGGTTTTTTCCCCCATCTCTACTAAAAATACAAAAATTAGCCAACTGTGGTAGCTTGTGCCTGTAATCCCAGCTACTCAGGAGGCTGAGGCATGAGAATCACCTAAACCCAGGAGGTGGAGGTTGCAGTGAGCCAAGATCACACCACTGCACTCCAGCCTGGGTGACAGAGTGACTCCAACTCAAAAAAAAAAAAAAGGAAAAACGAAAAGCTGAAATTCTTACTCTGTCCTACAAATTCTACACAAACAACATCCAACACCATTACCGGTTCTGTTTTTACCTTGTAACAGGTGCTGCCTGTTCACATGGCTACAGCCACTGTGGCCTCTTTGCTGTTCTTCAGATAAATCAGGCATACCCCTCACCCCCGGACCTTTGCACCAACTGTGTCTTGATCCTAGGACACTTTTTCCCCAGCTCCACTTGCTTAAATTCCTCTATGGCTACAAGACTTTGCTCAAATGCAAGCTTCTATTAAAACTGCTGTTCCTCATTCTCTTTTCCTGTTTTATTATTCTGTATAACATTTGTTATCTTCTCAAGTACCCTATAATTTATTTATTGTTTCCTATGTATTCTCTGATTCCTTTGAGTGGAAATTAAGATCTCTGGAGGAAGGAATTTGTGTGTTTTGTTTCCTGCTGTGAAATCAGAGCGAGTAGCTGGAGCAAAGTAGGAATTTGAGAAACATTTGCTGAATGAATTAATTCAGCAGCTATTTACCCAATGTCTTCCAGGTATCAGACGCATACTGGAGGTATCAAGATGGTTACAGCAAAATCCTTCCTCTTAAGTGAGCCTGAGTCAGTGGGATGGAGGCAAAGACAACCCTAAGGCAGTGTAATCATGATATACAACGGTGCTAAGGACCAGAGTCCCTGGCGTTATTGTTCTACCGCATGGGGGAGTGGAATGAAAGCAAGTGACGTTTGCCCAGAGCAAGGGGTGCTGGTGCTGGATCTTGACAAGCTGCCTGGAATTTTACCTGGCAGTAGAGCAGGGTGACAGAACTGTCCCTCATGTCTCAGTGGGTTTTCACTCTGCATACTGATTCAGAAAGCAGGCTTGGTCCCAGGGAAAAAATGGATAAGAATTTCTTTTTGTGATAACTGTGTTGTCCAGACAGCACTTCTTAACAGCAGAAGGATGGCCTGATGGCATCCCAGGGCATTCAAGTCACCAAAGTGATCCAGTCTGCTGACCTCCTGGTGAAATCTAAAGCGGTTTTCCTTTAAAGTAACCTGGGCAGGTGACCTCATGGCACTACAGCTACCACACTGAGCATCATCCACCGGAATCAGACAATTCCAATTTCCCCTGGACTGTCAGGAAGTCCTGATTTTAAAAATGGCTTTTGGTTTGTGATTTCTTAGAATAATCTCGTTTAAGTCAAGGAGTTGTTTGCAGTGGAATTCAGCTGTTTTTGCTGAGTTCATTTGCCTCTGGGGAGTAAAAGGATCACCAGACATTTGTAAACTACTTCTGCAACATAACAAAAGGAGAAAGCAGGCATTGGGCAGGTGCTGCTTTCTGGCTTGGGAGCCTCTAGGACCATAGGATTGTTCTAAATTCCATGATTACCTGCCCAGGTAGGTCTGACAGTTCTGGTGGTAGTGAGAGTGTACTGGTTAGCTATTTGTGTGCGACAAAGTCTCTCTACACTTAGCAGCCTAAAACAACAACAGTTTGTCATATTCCACAATTCTTCGAGTTGTCTAGGCCGATCCTCTGACAGTTCTGTTTGTGCCCACTCATGGGACTGCATCCAGCTGGAGAGTCAGCAAGGCTGCAAGGTCCAACATGGCCTTCCTCACCTTTCTGCCAGTTGGTGCTTTTAGCTAGGACACCCTGATGCTCCTTTATGTGGTAGTCTTCCAACAGAACAGCTTTCTTACAATGAGGTCCTAGGAGGCTCAAAGGGGATGATAGAGGAAGTGGTAAGGCCCCCTTGAGGACTAGACATGGAGCAAAGATAGTTTCGCTGCTTCTACATTCCAGTGGGCAAACTGAGTCACAAATCCTGCCAAACTCAAAAGTCAGAATAGATTGAACTTTCTGAAGGGAGGAGCTAGCTGCAAAACTCTGTGGCCATATTCAACCTACCACAATTTTCCATTTGACTACAGTTATTAATAGTTCTCCCAGATACAGAATAAATTTACCCCTCCCAAGATCTTCAAAAATCTCACCAGTTATATCATAAGGCTCAGAATCCTGGAGCTTGTGATCTTCATCTGTCTTGGATACAGAAAAAGCCTCTTGGGTACAGCAGATACTCTTGATCCAGAAACTTGAGAATTTAAAGCACCATGGGACAGGGACTAGATGATGGAATAGTCACTCTGATTCAAAAAAGAAGAGCCAGAGGCACTAGCAGTCACTGGCACATAGTAATTCTGAAATCTGGCCAGGCACAGGCACATGTCATCAGAGCTCTCTACCCAAGTCAGGGAATATTCTTTTACTAGGGCCTGGCTCTGCTCTCTGGGAATAGTTTCCTAATCATCTGTTTTCCTTGGCCCTTAAATTCACCTTCTAGGTTCTTGGCTATACTCTTTGAATTTCTTTTTCCTTCCATAAAAGAGGGTTCATGTTTGCAGCTTTCTTAGCCTGCTTTCTAACTGTAAACTTTGTGTTTTTAACTGTGTCTGTTTTCTTTAGTCTGAGCTGCTACAGCTCCTTTAAAAATGTTTTGGGTTTTCTGCATATCACATTATACTCCATTAAACAAAAACCATATTCACAACTATGTTTGAAATAGATTTCTTGCTACTTGGATGGGAAATTTCAGGGTGCTGTAGGACAAAGCCCTTAAGATTGTTGTCTAGCTGAGAAGGTCTATTAGACAATATATTAATTTTTCAGAGGGTCCTACACTTACATTCTTGATTTGATCGTGATTTGGAAGCCATTTTCATTTTTCCCTTGAGAATCTTTTGCCTGTTGAAAAGACGAGAAGTATTACAAAGAAGACCAGCTTTATTTAGAAACTCAGTATGTATCAGATCCTCTGTACTTTCTGCTTACAAATAGAAGTGACTTTAGTACATCTCTCTCTTCTCATTCCTTATCATACTCAGCTAGAAAAAGCCAGTAACCATTGTTAGCATTCTGCCTCATCATCTCCTTAGGGATACCCACACATTCATTAGTACATTTCCTGTCTTTCAGATTACTTCAGGCAAAAGTTTTGCCAATTATTCCTTAATTGTAACTTGGTTTGCCCTTCTCCCAGCCTCTACTAGCAGTTTTCTCAATACTAATAGCTGCCTTAATTCTCTATCAGCCTCTGCCCATTGCCCAGTCCCAAAGCCAATGCCGTATTAATAGAGACTTTTTAAAAAAATTTTTTGAATAGCAGCACCCACTTCTAGGTACCAATTTCTGTATCAGTTAACTATGCAGTATTAGCAAAACATTTCAGAACTTGATGTCTTAAGAAAACAGTGACTCACTATTTTAACATTCTATAGAGTGATTCTTCTGCTGGTCTCACCTGGGATTGCTCATGTCGCTGCATTCAGCTGGAAGGGTGACTGGGCTCAGCTATGTTGACTGGATCTTCCTCTCCATGTTGTCTTTCATTCCAGTTTCTTCACATCCTGGAGTCTTCCTGGCCTGATGGTCTTGGGGGAGCATTCCCAGAGGTCAAGCCCAAATTCCTAAGCACAAATCAAACCTCTGCTTATACCCAGTTAACTTGGCCAGAGCAAGACTCACGGACAAGTCCTGAGTCAGTGTGGGAGAGAACTGCACAGAGGTATGAATACTGAGAGGTGTTTCATTGGGCTATGACTGTTTGCAAAGAAGGATAAAAGAGATCACCAACCAGATCTTTCTAATCCAGGTCTCCTGTCCTCTCCTCTACCTGCTGACCTCTCTGGAGTCCTAACCTGCAGTTTCTGTGTGTGCTTTTGACTGTGGGTGCTAGAAAGGGTACCCAGGCAGCACCTAGGCCAACATGCACATCCTTAGCCCATTGCCCTTAGTGAAGTTTTTGGGAGGCCAGGCTCTGCTTCCAGCTCTAATTCTGATCTTGAATATCCAGATCAGAATATGCCCTTTTCTTCTCTATATAATATTCTTTGCACCACAAAAAGAAACTCCCTTTGGAGCTTGCCTCAGACATGTAAGAACCCTGCATCTAACACGACAAAATTTCTCAATGTTTATGTTTAGTTGTTATCTACAAGAGAGAAAGTCTCCTGTTTGTCGCAGTCATCATTAAAATGGTCTCTAATAACTCAGTCTCCTGGTATTCATACCCTCGTGTCATCCTCTTCTCTGCGTGTGGGTGGGACTTGCTGATAGGTCTAACCAATAGAATATTGCAGGTGTGGTGTGATGTCACTTCTGACATTGGGTTATAAAGGAGCTGTGGCTTTAGTCTGGGTGTGCTCTCACACTCTCACTTGGGTTGCTTACTCTGAGAATCCAGCTGTCAAGCTGTCATGCTGTGATGCAGCCCTGTGGAAAGGCCCACATCTGTGAGCCTGGAGGCTGATCTTCTGAGGACTGCCCACAGCCATGAAAGAGTGGGTGAGCTCAGAAGCTGGCCTTCCCCAAGCCAAGCCTTGAGACGACTGCAGTCCTGCCTGACACTTTGATTGCAGTCTTGTGAGAGACTCTGATCCAGCACCACCCAGCCAAGATGCTCCTTCATTCCTGACCCTCAGGAACAGTGAAGTTATACATTTGTTGTTTCTAGCTTCTATGTTTTGGGGTATGTATTTGTTACATAGCAATAGATAACTGACACATATTTTGGGGTCACAGACTGATATGGTTTGGATCTGTGTCCCCACTCAAATCTCATGTCTGGTGTAGTTCCCAGTGTTAGAGTTAGGACCTGGTAGGAGGTAATTAGATCTGGGGGCGGTTTCTAATGGCTTAACACCATCCCCCTTGGAGCAGTCATCATGATGGTGAATTCTCATGGGATCTGGTTGTTTAAAAGTGTATAATACCTCCCCACCTCTCTTTCTCCTGCTCCAGCCATGTAAGATGTGCCTGCTTCCCCTTGGCCACCTGCAATGATTATAACTTTCCTGAGGCCTCCCAAGCCATGGTTCCTGTACAGCCTGCAGAACTGTGAGCCAATTAAACCTCTTTTCTTTATAAATTACCCAGTTTTAGGTATTTATAGCAATTCAAGAATAGACTAATACACAGCCTTTGCAAAAGTGTGCATAGCCCAGGAGTACCCCACCCCAAAACAGCTGGTATCAGGCTAATAGGAGCAAGACAGAGGGGTGAGGACAAAGAGAAGTGTGAGGAATCTGGAGGATTTCTTTGGTCCCTCGGCTGTTCCCTTCTGCTTTCCTTCCCTGGAGATTGTGGTCTTTCAGAACAATCAGCCAAGCAGAAAACAGTCTTCTCTGGGTTAAGATGGCAGCAACAAGTAAATTTAATACTTTACCTTGATTGGATTAGCAGCAAAGGCATTGACCAGTCTTTCTAGCTGATACAAGGACGGTTTAGCCTGTCTAAATTAAATCTCTTCGGCATCATCGGTTTGAACAGCCTACTCACATTTTCTGCAGATGCTCTATACATTTTTGTTGTTGTTGTTTTGGGGTGGAGAAGCAAAAATGCATTCTCTTTTCTTAGGTGGGAGGACTGATTGCCTCTGCCTCGCCAGCGTGATTATTGCAGCACATACGGTTCAGAGCTGCCGAGAAAAGTAATGGATCTGCCCGAATTAGCGCCTGACTTGGGTGAGCATCGAAGCAGAATTCCCCCCCCCCCTTTTTAACACTTTGGCTCAGTGAGGCAGGCCAAACCCTATAATCGTCATTGATTATCTCATTCGGCATGACTCCTGGGAAATCTTGGGTGAAAGCAAATTGAATCGGATATTTGCTGCCACTCTTGTAAAAGGGGACTCTCTTAGATTAATTTCAGGGATGATGGCAGCCCAGAAGATGCGGGCCTGGAGTAGTGCAGCCAAGGCGGCCGTCGGGCATTGTGAAAAGATGCAGCTCTTGTGAACTGATGTGTATAAAGGTTGGCTTTAGAGAAAAGCACAATCTTTTAACGTGGAGGATTAGTCCCAGAGGAGAGGCTCCTTCACACATGAGCTCGCCTGGTCTGCACCTGCAAAAGGCTGGTTGTTAGGGAAGATTCATCAAATAAAGCCCAGGCCCCATTGTTCCTGTGGATATCTTAGGCTCCCTAGGGAGAAAGTGCCGCACAAGTTCTCTTGGGATAGAACTTTAGGCACAAAGGGAAAAGAAGCCCTTTTGTGGATTCCAAGGAATCCCTTACCCTTAGGGGAGGAAGATGAATAGGCAAAACTTTAAAAGGTCAAGAGCTTATTTAATAAGAAGAAGATTTGGGACTGTCAAGTCCTGCTGGAGGCCACTGAGAGAGAGAGGCAGCACTCACACCTGGCACTTCTGCCACATTCCTCCCTCATGAACATCATCACGGCAAGAAGCAGGGCCTTTCTGACTCGGTAGAGGAGATCTCAAAAAAACAGTGGTCATGAGACAGGGCAACAAACACAGAGCCAACTAGAGAGCGCTGAGGATGTGAAATCGGCATTCAGGCACCACCCTGGCTGGGAAGGCCAGCACGTGGACATCACCAAGTCCAGTTAGCAGGGCTATCAGCTGTGAGTGTGGAGAGACCTGCTTTAGAAGGTTTTCTGGGCAAGGTTAGTAAAACAACAGCAGCAACAGTAGTAATACGTATTTATCAAGTGTGTCATATATGTCAGGAACTGTAATCCATATAAATGCTGATAACCCATCAAGAGAGGTACGGTTACTTGTGGTGGACGACACTGGTGGCTTGCTCAGACCACCTGGGGTCCCTTTTTGCCCATTCTGTGCACCTCCAGCTTGAATGTGCTCTTGTTTCCAACAGCAAGCATTTGTAGCTACTTTTTGCTAAGTCCTTGGGCTAGTGGAGTTTGCTTTGCAGAGCTGGAAGTGCCTGGGAATTTATATCTACCCTCCTTTCTCAGCACCCTTAACCAATGACTAGTGGATACAGAAATATGAAGGCCCAGCTCCTTTGGATAAGGCCAACTCAGAGGTGTAATTTACAGTGCAGAGGTTTCCAGCAGCATCAGGCCAAAGCTAACCTCTGCCTGCTGGACTTTTGCCTGAAACTGCTTAGCTTCCCCCGTTTTCCCCTCCTGCATCCTCCGCTCAATTTCCAGTTTCCCCTGTGAGCACTTTCTTAGTAATACAAATTCTCATCTTAGGATCTGCTTCTGGGAAACCTAACTTGTGATGTTACCCCCGATTTGTACATCAGAAAACTAAAGAATACAGTGAGATGAAGCCACTTTCCTGCCTAAGGTCACACAAGTAAATGTCTGAGCTGGTATTTACAACCAGTCCTCTCTGACTTCAGAAGTTTTGTTCCTTATATTACCCACAGAGCCCATTTCCAAAGAGAGGCTTGTGTATGGAAAACTTGAAGAAAAGCTTACCCTCATTGCCATACTTTTGTTCCCTTTTAGGATTTTCTTGCCCATGTGACCAAGAATTGGTCAAAGTCACAGACATCTTTAGCAGCAACTCTTGGGAAGAATGTGATTGACTTGTCAGGATTCTTGGTAAGTGCATTTCATTTAGTTTTTGCTAAAAATGGACTCCAGTGGTCAATGGATTTACCACATTGAAATGACCCTGAATAACACCTTCCTTGTAGATGTATTTGTACTTCTATGCCAACACGGCTCTGGCAGTATCACAGTGAAGGGTGACTGCTTTGTGTGTATTTTCTTTGAAAGCTAGAGGTCAGGTAACCACTGCCAGAATCCTGACACTGTTATCTGCTTGCAGAAGAACTAGTTGGGCCTGGGGGGAGACACATTTTGGGAGCTGTGATACAGCGAAAGCACTGGCCTAAGGTGCCTGAGAAGTTGTGGCTAAAATTGGAGAAGGTAGAAGAGTGATTAAATAAATAAATAAATAAAAGCCGATCAGTGCTAGAGATAGACATTGTTTTGTACTCAGAAAGACCTGAATGGAAATCCTGGCTCATATACTTTAGATGTGTAGCTTCAGACAAATTACTTAACCCCTCTAAAGCTCATTTCTTAATCATCTGCATAATTGGACCTCCATTGCACCTAGGTTATAGAAGAACTGGCTTTGTTTTGTTTTGTTTTGAAGAGAGAATCTCACTGTTCTGTCACCTAGGCTGGAGTGCGGTGGCACGATCTTGGCTTGCTGCAGCCTCCACCTCCTGGGTTCAAGACATTTTCATGCCTGAGCCTCCCGAGTAGCTAAGATTATAGGCGTGCATAACCACACCCAGCTAATTTTTGTAATTTTAGTAGAGATAGGGTTTCGCCATGTTGGCCAGACTGGTCTCCAACTCTTGGCCTCAAATGATCTGCCTACCTCAGCCTCCCAAAGTGCTGGGATTACAAGCGTCAGCCACTGTGCCTGGCATGCTGTGATTTCTATAATGAAATGATGGATACATAGGACTTGATGTAAGTTTTGGCACAAAATAGACATTTACTGATGATGTTTGTTTTAGTGAATAGCTTAAGTACAAATAATTTTTGCTTACATTAGGTAAGCGGGAAGATCAGGAGATTGTATAAACACAGTTAGCGTGTCAATGTATATCAGTGTACACTGAATTCTAACAAACTGCCTACTCACTAATGTCTTGTTTTGTGCCTATAATTGGGGAAAAGAAGACAAGACCTATATCATGAAAGCTACATTTTCTTGTAGTAATTGTGCCTTTCACAAAATTTTTCTTTTTCTTTTTTGTTTTTTTTGAGACAGAGTCTCACTCCATTGCCCAGGCAGGAGTGCAGTGCTGCAATCTCAGTTCACTGAAACCTTCATCTCCTAGGTTCAAGTTATTCCCCTGCCTCAACCTCCCAAGTAGCTGGGACTACAGGCATGTGTCACCACACCCAGCTAATTTTTGTATTTTTAGTAGAGACGGGGTTTCACCATATTGGCCAAGCTGTTCTCACACTCCAGACCTCTTGATCCACCCACCTCAGCCTTCCAAAGTGCTGGGATTACAGGCATGAGCCACCGCATTCGGCCTCACAATCTTTTCAATGATGACAGCACAAAATATGGAGCCCATGACTCTGAATTTTTGTATTTTGGTTGGGCTCTGCAGCCTTTAGACTTACAGACAAATAGTTAATGTTTAGGCAAGAATTGCTTGGCCAGGTTAGGCTCTGATGGTTTCAGGTCCACTCAAATTCATTCTCTTCAATCGGCCTTATCTTCTAGGTGTTAAAACCAATACTCTGAGTATGAGTTGTGCAGTTGGAATAAAGAACCTCCCTCAACACAATGCAAGGTCTCTTTCTTCTACACTAACTTGCTGATGATTGTAAGTGAAGAGATAAAAGTAAATGCACTCGTGTATCTATCACTAGTTAATGAATTATAAATAATCCCTCTAGGTAGACAGATTGTCATTTCTGTGGCTAAATTTGGAGGGAGTCAGCTAGAAATTTAGGATAAAAATCACAATTTCTTGAGCCCTGTAGAATTTTTATGGAGGCTTTTGTTTGTTTTTGTCACTTGAGTTATCTGAAAGTCAATCTTGTTTGGCTTTTAACTAAACGATACCTTCCCGTAAACCCACGTCGCTCAGTTACATGCATTTTTGAAAACTGAAACTCATAGAGGACACGTTACTGGTTCCAGTGCTTTGGCTAATGAGGACATGCCCTGAGAGGAGCTGGGGTTAATGGTGGTGTTTCTGGGCTAGGGCTGTGTCATCTTTTTTCCTGTCCAAGCGTGTAGAGTCATGACAGCTATGAAGGACGATTATGACTTTAAGCAAAGACATTCCTGGGAGAGCCACCCCTCTAAAAATGGAAATAAGTAGGCAGGGCAAGAATCTCTAAAAGGCTTCTGATTTTCTCACCCCAGCCATGCTTATTCCAGTAGTTAAAGGTCCTAGAAAAATTACACCTTCGTCTTTCTTCTCACTTATCAACTGTCTGAGCATGTTTCTGATTGAGTACTTGCAGAATTTGAAAATGCTGAGTCGGCTGGGCTGCTAAGAATGGGAAGAGAAGTAAAATAAACCTTGACAAAATTGACCCTGACCCCTGCTGATGAAAAATACAGCCCAATGTGGCCACAGCACAGGTTCGAAGGGTGGTTCTTCTGTGAACTAGCTGTCATTTACCAGACGTAAAAAACACTGTCGGTCCACAGCTGAATCTGGCCAACAGAGATCTCCAGTTTAGCTAGGAAGAGTGTGGGATTGTATTTTTTATTGCAGGAAGCCCTCTTTAGTTCACCACCGGTTCTTGTCTTCACTGTGGCCTCGACATTCCCTTCCAGCTTGATCTGTGTCTGTCACCTGACTCTCCCTGGAGCTATGTAAGTCTATAACCACCTTCAGCCTCATTTTCCTCAACTGCCAAATGTGAACCAAGCCTGTTTCCCAGGGTTGTTGTGAGAGTCTCCTGTGACAGTGTGGATGACATGGCCAGAAGTGGCTGGGACTTCATGAGCTCAGTGCGCTTCTTTCTTTCTTCTTTTCCTTTTTCTTGCTTTCCCTTTTCTCTTGCCCCTTTTCTCATTCTTGTTTTCCTCTTCTTTGTGGTGTTTGCATAGTTATTTGATCTCGTTGCTAGACTTTGAGCAAGTTTTTTTTTTTTAGTCCATGGAAGCTCTGGGTTATTCTTGTTGGTCCTGAAGTGAGAGTCGTACTAAATATGTCCTCTGCTTCTCCACAATTATCTAAAAGGCACAAAAGTGATTAAACACTGAGTCAGTCATGCCCTGAGTTAAGTCTAGATTTGACCCTGATCCACATTAATTCGGAAGATGGTTGAAGATGATGACCCTGCATGCATTTTGCTTGGGGGATCTTAAAGTTAGTGAAATTAAACTGCCCCACTGTGATGGTTAATACCGAGTGTCAACTTGGTTGGGTTGAAGGATGTAAAGTATTGATCCTGGGTGTGTCTGTGAGGGTGTTGCCAAAGGAGGTTAGCATTTGAGTCAGTGGGGCTGGGAGAGGCAGACCCACCCTTTAATTTGGGTGGGCTCCATCTAATCAGCTGCCAGTGAAGCTAGAATACAAAGCAGGCAGAAAAATGCGGACAGAAAAAAAAAGAAAAGGACTGGCCTAGTCTCCTAGCCTACATCTTTCTCCCTTGCTGGATGCTTCCTGCCCTTGAACATTGGATTCCAAGTTCTTCAGTTCTGGGACTGGCTCTCCTTGCACCTCAGCTTATAGACCCCCTATTGTGGGACCTTGTGATCATGCAAATTTATACTTAATAAACTCTATCTATCTATCTATCTATCTATCTATCTATCTATCTATCTATCTATCTATCCATACATGTATATATATAGAGAGAGAGTTTATTAAGTATAAACTTGCATTATATATAGAGAGAGTTTATTTTATATATATATATGCAATGAATATATTATTGAGTAGCAATGCTGACCTTGGCATTGTAAAAAAGAGGCAAGAAGACACAGCTGTAGTATTCACATGCCCTGGAAGGAGGGAAGGAGAGCCTTCTTTGAGAGCTGGGTGTAACACCTGATTTGGATACCTACTAGCTGTGACCTTGGAAATGCTCTTTAATTTTCTTAAGCATTACTTCTCTCATTTGCATGGTAAAGAGAATTATTTCTGAATTTCCACTGTTAAAACATGAGCTCTGAATGAAGAAACCCCCAAACAGGCTTTGTGTGAGCAACATGGCTGTTTATTCACCTGAGTGCAGGCGGGCTGAGGCAGAAAAGGGCGTCAGTCAATGGCAGTGGGATAGGAGTTGGTTTTGTAGGTTTGGGGTGGGCAGTGGAAAATTACAGTTTAGGGTGGTGTTTTGCAAGCTGGGAGGGGGTCGTAGGTTTGCAAGCTGGGAAGGGGTCATAGGGTGTGGAGTCATGAGGTTGACCCTGTCGGTTACAAAGTCCAATAGCTTTATTAATTGCGGTGGGAATAAGGAGCAATAGAGAACTTAAAGTTAAGTAGGCGGCTGCAGGGGTTGATAATTTCTTCCTCTTTTCATGGTCTTCCAGTTACTTTAGATTTTCCAGGAACTCATCTGGACTCTCGGTGCAGGTCACAGAGGTTAACATGGTGTCCATAGGGCTGTCTGGCAGCCCAGAAGACCTTACATTCACTTCAAAAGTTTATTTTGAATTTCCAAATATAGAAGGTTTAGTCCAACAACAGTGTTTAATATGCACCTTCTATGTGCAGGGTATATTATGCCTGGCACCAGAGACTCAAAGATGAATACAGCAAGAGCATGCTACATATGCTAAATGATGAACTATCGCATTTACGTAAAAGAATACATCATTGTTATTATAACCCAAAGGGCTGTCCCCTTCTCCCTGGAAATACATCTGTTATCTCCTCTGTCACCCATGCAGCTCAGAGCTCTAGGATTTATTTCTCTCACTAGTTACAACAGCACATAGTACATTATACAAGGATGATTATTTAAAATAGTGCTTCTGAAATGGTTTATTCATATGTATACATATATGAGTTTCAGGGGGTGACTTACATCTTGTTCTTGAGAAAGAATCATGACCCATGAGGAAAAGTATAACACAGAATATCATGAAGCCAGGGCTGAATTCAAACTGCTTTATCCCCAACTTTCTGTAAGGTCCTGGAGTACTCATTTAATTTTTCTGAGTTTGAATTTCCTGTACTCAGGGAAGAAGAATCTTGCCCCGACCACTCCAGATGTTTCCCATGGAATAAAGATGGTGATGGGTATAGATGTGTTTTTAAAAAATTGTCAGTGACAGAAAGGTAAAGGTTAGCAGCAGGACTGACACCTAATTTTGGCCTTTACTTGGGACACCTGGGGAAGAAAGAAATGAACCAGGAAAATTCCCTTGCAAGCTCACGAGTAAGCAGATTTCCTGGAAACCACAAATAGTGTTTACTAGCAGAAGATAAAGAACAGTCCTCAACTATTAACTACTTTTAGCAGAATATACCCAGTCTGTGTCAGTGGTTTATTGTAAACAAACCTGAAATCTATGAATACATGAGACACAGCTCACTGGAAAATGTCACATGGCTATGTAATTTGTTTGCTAATTGCTGTGTCTTACTATTGCTCAAGTGTGAATCAAAAGCAAACTTGGTCCTAGGTATTACCAGCGATTCATGTTGAATCTCATTTGCATTGTCTTTGTGTTATAACAGGTGCCATCCTAGGTAAGGCAGAAAAAGGCATAGGTGGAAAAAGGAGATGCCCCATAGCTGAATTGGCTCCTCTGTTCGAGCAAAGTACAATATGCAGTTGTTAAACCTCACATGGGAAGTCTGAACCAGAACAACCTTGGTGCAGGAGAAAACAAACATTTGGAGGCAGTGTTGATCGTCTTGACCTCTCTGATGGAACACTGCTCGGCAGTGTCTTGCTATTTCTGGTAAACCTTGAATCAGAAGTAAATTTGTTACTCAGCATCACCAATGGCCCAAGATGAGTGTCTCATTTGCATTATCTTTGTGCTTTCTCACGTGTCCCTCACAGACAAGGCATTGTTTGTACATCATTTTCGGACATCACTGAGGGAGTTTCTGTAAAACCCAATCTAATCTTTAAGATAAAGCTTTTGTGTATGTGTGAGATATAAGTACATGAGACTTATGCCAAATGGCTTCTTTGGGCACAGGCCTAGGATGCTGGGGCTTTGCTGACTCTGTGATAATCAAAGAAGCACCAAGTTAGAAACAGCTCCGGGGGCAGTGGGGAGGAAGACTTGGTCACATGGTCTACCCAGTGGGTGTGGTCACCAATGTCTGCAGGCTGTCTTTAACCCTGTAGCCATATTCCACCTGGTCATTCTTTATTTTTGGATCTCCCTTCCCAGGATCCCCCCCCCCCCTGCAGCCTCCAAAACAGTCTCCTCTGAGGTCTATTAGAACAGTAGCATCCCCCCTATTTCCTCCCTTCCTGTCATTGATCTTGACTTACCTGCAGCAGGAATGAGGAAAGCCTGGACTCCCCTCCCAAGTGCCCTGCCCCTCGGCTCCCTTTTTTCACACCTTGCCCATTGCCATTTGGAAAGGCAAGGGATAGAGGCAAAGTTAGATGCAACAAGTAGATATTTTTCTTAGTCTAGGTAATGTTCTTTAGGGTAATTAACCCAAAAAGTCAAGAAAGAAAGATTTTATCTTATTGGAATATGCAAAGTCTCACTTTTGCAAACCCCAGACAGAAAAAGAATTGGAGAGAACAGTGGCTCTCTTCCTTAGCTCTCTACCTTGACTGTAGAATTTTCAATGGTGCTTTGAAAAAAAATCTATTCCTGGGCCCCATCCAGACTAGTCAAATTAGAATTTCTGAGTGAGGCCCAGGCATGGGATTTTTAATTTGTTTTCCAGGTGATTTTAATGGGTAGCTGTAGTTGCAGACCACTGGGGTAGCAATTTTGTGGCCATTTGCTATTGTCTTTATGAGCAAAGTCAGGCAGTAAGAGCATTTCAGGGCATAAAATGGCTCAGGTCTAAAATGTTTTCTATTGTAAGATCAGCTATGTAAAATGAAAACCCAGTGCCAACCAGGGCATTAAGTCAGCCCATGTATAAGATAATTTCTTCTGAAGTTTTTGGCACTAACAAGTCCTGAGATGGTATTTTCCAGTGAGAATGGGCTTAATGACCTGAGTACATCTATATGCCAGAGAAATAACCTGATTGACTTCTCCCTTTTCAAGTTTATCAACTTGAAGAGGATATTAATATTTTTTTCCATTTTAACAATGTGCCTTACAAGTGGAACATTATGAACAAGTGTGAGATCCATATTATTTCAGGGACATGACCGTGCACACCTCCTTCCCACTCATGGAGGAGCTGACACCACTATTCTCAGGAGAAAAATCACAGAATTTCTATGGTATTCCAGAAATTTTGAACTCTGGAGCCAACTGGATCACATTAAGGACCCAAGGGGGAGACATATTTGTACTCAATGTCTGCACATTAGCAATTTCTCTCTACATAATTTTGCTCTTAAGGACGATAGAATGAGGTCCACTTTAATTAAATGCATAAGGAACACCAATCCACTTTGAAAGGCACCACTAATCCACTTACTGGTCGCCAAGTTATGCAGATACTAATGAGACTTTCAAGAGAACAGGCATAAGAGGAAGACAATTTACAGGAAATATGCTTGGAACAGGTGCTCTATTGTATATATTCCTCATGGTCAATGGCTACCAAGCAACGCCGAAGTTAGTTCATTGTGCCCTGCCTCACTTACGGCTGTGTCTTCTTTAGCGGGTTATTTATGTAATAGAAGCAGAATCTGGTAAGTAAAGTAAGAAATTGTGGATCTGTTTACAATTTGGTTTCCGTGCTCAATTGCACATCAGTTTGGTCTGCAGTTAATAAACTTTTATGTATGTATTCCAAACTCCAAGTTTTTCTGTATACACCCTTATAGCTTTAAATTTCAGTCCTGCAGGAAACTTCAACAATTAATTATATGCTATTCCATTTATTGTTGTTATTATAAATAGTTTTATGATACTGCTTTTTATTTATTGTTTTCTTAAATAGACACTGAAACTTCTATAGCAAATTAATCAGAATATAACCATTGTTCAGGAAATGCTTGAATATTTTCAGCAGAAGCAAAGAAAAGTATTATCAATTTGATTGGAAAAAATAGCTGAGCTGTCTGAGAAATATTCCAGGGGGAAGATCATTAAAAATCTCAGTTCCATCCCTGCCCAGCTACAGAATCTCCTCTGAGAATCTTGCAGTTCTCCATTAAAAAGCAAACAAACAAACAAACAACCCCTCATGTGATTCTGATAGACTCAATCCTCTATATCTGGAAATTAGCCACGTGTTCATTTAGGGCTGAAGTGGGGAGAGTGAACTTGTATTGATTGTGTGACTGCTATATTCAGTCTCTTATTTATTTATTACTCATAATGATTTTATAAGATGGGAATTACTATATCTGTTTTATACTTCAGAAAACAGTCCCAGAATTACACAACTAAGACAACTATCAAATTGGAGATTTCAACTCTGGAACTGCCTTGAAGTCGACTCTAAGCAATAGTAACAGGAATACACACATACATATATATTATACATATATTGAAGGCACTGGAGAATAGGCAGAAACTGGAATGGGTTCTCTTCTTGAATAAAGAGCCAGCAGACCAACACTGAGTGAATTTCCTATCTTTTTACACTTCTAGCTGATAAATTCACTCAGCACTGTATGGGTAGGCTAAAACTTGACAAAATCCATAGTCTTACTAGCTTGAAGAGCTAGAAGACAGAGTCTAGGGCTTCCCCAGCCACTGCAAAGAGAGGAGAAATTCTGAAGAGAACCAGAAAAGGGGAACCCCCACATTGTATGTGTTAACTCAGTCCACTTCTCTGGCTGATCACACAACCATGGATGCTTAGGGCAGAATCCAAGTATCTCAGTTAAGGTTAAAAGAACTGATCTGAGAGTTTGAAGTTTGAGTACAGACATGTTACCTGACCATTAAAATAAAACAAAACAGTAAAACAACAATAAAAACAAAACTCTTTAGAGGAACATAACAGAATCCAGTGTGTCTACAATATAACACAATGCCAAGAATATATGCAAAGAAACAGTAAAATATGACTTAATAGAGAAGGTATTTGATGAAAACCAACCTTAAGGAAGATGAATTTTGTGTCTTAACCAACACGTCCCCCTCCCCCTGCTCCCAAGGCTCAAGAGAAACCTTTTAAGAAGGGGAAAGTAAGCTGGTGAAGATGGCATTCAGGCTGGGCACTACCTGTCTATGGGGTTGAATGCTCCAGAGAGGGATTATCGGTCAGAATCACAAGTTCCACAGGTGTGTGGAAAGATCTTGCATCTATTTCCTGATGTTTCTCCAAAGGGTGAAACTCAACAGCAAGCCTCTCCAGACAGAAATGGTGCTTATGTTCAGATGGGTGCAAGGACTGGAAGACTCAATTTTCATGGGGTCCTTGTTATGCTTAGAGAATGTTTCAAGAAGGAGGAAGAGGTCAATAGTTTTGAGTTTTACTGAGAGATCAAGAAGGTGGTCAGTATTTTTGTTCCTCAATTTACTTGCTTGTAAATTAGACAAAGTTCAGATTAGCAACTCCTATTTAGCAAAGGCATTCTGCAAAACCATGACAATACTGAGTCATGGCAAGATGCTCTATACATTCAACTCCTCATTCTACCTCAGTGTATTTTAAAATACTCTTATTTTTCATCTCCCACCGCTGTCAGGGATGTGGTGGCCATCATAAATGCACCAAGATAAAGTTTTTAATACATGCACTTTCAAATTTGCCCTCGTAAGTATGTTAGGGTTCCTGTTTTACAGATGCCATCACTCAAAGCGCCAGCCTTGCCAGTCCACTCCGCTCCTGCTCCTAGTCATGGTCAATCTTTTCGTATAATTTAACACATCCCCATTGATGGAGAACCCACACTATATATCTTTCAAGCTGTTTCAGTCCAAGTTCCAAAGGATAGCAGAAAATGTCAGTGCTTTTTGCAATGGAAGAAAAGGGTTTGGTTGTACAGTTTATGCTTTCACAGAATTATTGTAGAGTTTGTGTGCCAGGGTGGGGAATTCACCTGCCATCATGGCCCTGGTGGCAAGTTCATCCACGGGAATAAATTTCCTGATGAGAACTTCATGCTGAATCATAGGAGTTTTGGGATCTTATCCACGACAAATGATGAGCCCAACACAAATGTTTCCTGGTTTTTAGTCTACACTATTCATACTGATTGGTTGGATGGCAAGCTTATGGTCATTGGTGTGAAGAATGTGGAATCTATGGACGGGATGAGTTATCCTTCTCAACTCCCAGGAGCACCAGGAGCCACCAGGATCCCACCAGGATCATCACAACCAGGTGACCACAGGCGATGAGAGAGATAACTCATCCCCTCTAACACAATCAAAAGAGCAGCAGTGTGAACAACAGCAGTGTGGCCAGAAGCTTCCTGATCATTGTCATAGCAGGCTAATTGCCACTTGCAATATTGAGGAGATTAAGGTTCTTCTACCAATGGCTGTGCCCTTAGGGTCTCAGTTCCCCCAACTTATTTTTTCTCTTTCCAAAATGTCTTTTCCAGGAAATATACTCAGCCAGGTGGAGTGTCAACTTCCAACATGTGACAGCATGTGTGATCTCAGGGGACACACTCTCTGTAGATGAGTAGAGCACAGACCCATGGTCTGGCTACTTAAGTGCCTTGACACTCTTGAGGTATCCATAAGATTTTTAGTAGGGAGCTCACTTTATGTGTTAACAAAAATCCAAATGGAAACATAAAAACTTCTTTCAAGTATTAAAAAAAGTAGTGGAAGAAGGGACAGGCTTTTTCTGCCTCACCTTAGAGGATGCAATAAGAACAAATAGTAGAAACATTTTGGTGAGGCAGAGTTCAGCTTCATTTAAAGAGAAACCTGCTGACTCTCAGAGCTTGAGTTGCTGTGAGCTACCCAGTCTCTGGACCTGCAGTAAAGTGATTATGAAGCAGATCGTCAAGAGAAGCTCCTACAGTGGAATGACGTTTGGAGGAAAGAACTTCTAAGGTGCCATAATTGACTAATTTACCTCCTGCTCCTCTGCAACTTATAGGACCATCACAACCAGGTGAGCCACAAGTGTCTGCATTAAAAATAATGGCTGACTCCTCCCTGGCTGTGTTTCAGCTGCAGTCCTCAAAAGTCCAAACCCACTGTTAAAACACAGTTAAAAGATCCTCAGTCATGCCTATTCAGGCTTCATCACAGAAGCGTCATTTTTTTCTCATGGATTTGCTTGATTGTTTGTTGTTTTCCCTTATGTTTCTCTGTAATTCTTGGAGATGACTTTTTTATTCCAGCAGAATCAGTCTTATGAGAAAAGCATGCATGGTGACTTGAAGTTTCCATTTTTGGTGGTTAAGCAAGCTCAGAAGGGAAATTAATTATGCCAGAGTTTATGGTCAAGATATTTTGTGCTGCAATTAATTTCCCATCTCTTTTATTTCCTCTGTGGAATATTAAGAGCACATGGTTATTGGAGAACCCTATTTGGGGTGAGTCAGGCTCTCTTAGGTCTCTTTAATATTTCCCAACCCTTCTACTTAACTTCAAATGTCATGCTTAAGCATATGCTCAGGCTTTACCCTGAGGCTTTGCTTGAAGGGTAAGCTCACAGAGAACGTAACAGGCAACTACTTATCTGTTAAGGTTGTCCAGGTTGACAGAAGAACATGGGCGTTGCTGAGTAGTGATTTGATTTTACTCCCCTTGGATATAAGTGGCAATTAACCCCGTACAAAAAGAATAAAGAAGTAATTAATGATTGTAAATGTGAAATGCTTCTCATGCAAACCATTTCTTTATTGTTGTGATTTTTAAATTTAGCCTTTGCAGGGTTCCCATTTCAAAGACTGCTAGACTGCTAACTAGCTGTGCGATCTCAGGCAAGTCACATCGACTGCTTGAATTTCATCGGGAAAGTAAGATGTGAATATATGTTTTTGTTCCCCAAATATCTTACTTCTAAACATCATATAATTTAATATCTGAACATGTGTCTGAGGTCACAATATTTTACTTTTCTCATTGTTTTTGTCTTCATGTGGAATATTTCGATGACAAGTTTAGGGTTTAAAAATGAGGGCATCTTTATTTCTGTTCTGTTAAAGTTTATGTTCATCATATGATACTTAATTTTCTATTTCCAATTCTCTGTTGAATTTAGACCAATTTATGTGACTTGTGCGCTAATACAATGTGAGCAAAATGACCTTTGTAGCTTCCGGGATTAAGAGTGAATGATGATTCCTCATTCTCCCTCTTCCTCCGCTACTGTGACTAGCCTGGGTCTCTGAGTAAAGACAATGTTGAGTAACCCCTTCATCTGCAAGCAATGAACATGAATCTTAAATTTGCTGTTTGAACCACTAAGATCTGGGGACTGTTTGTCACGCAGTGTAACCCCTCCTATTCTGACTAGCATAAGTCTCTGCATCCATTTCAAGGAGATTATTGACACATAGCATTTCAAATAACTTACACATTTTCATAGTCAGAATTGACAGATAAACCATGCCTCTAACACTTTTACCACAGGGAGGACCTCAAAATTGGAGCTCAGATCAGGAGGCCATGTGGGTTCTTGGCTTCAGGCAGGAAGGAATTCAAGAGTGAGCCAACAGATAGCATGGGGAGAAATGCCAGATGTGGGTGAAGGGGAGGAAGACAGCAAATCACACTGCCACGTGTGTACCTATGCAACTATCTTGCATGTTCTGCACATGTACCCCAAAACCTAAAATGCAATTTAAAAAAAAAGAATAAAAGGGTGTCTACTCCATAGGCAGAGCAGCCCTCAGGGCAGCTGGTTGGCTATTTTTATGGTTATTTCTT